CTTGCCCGGGTTGATGCTCAACTCAACCCCAGTACACCACCCTTCTGCCAGGTTTAAACCTCTTTGTAGTAGGYCGAATTTGCTATGGCTATAATTACAACGACGTCCGCATAACCTTGGCAGCGGATCCCATTCTCAGTTAGTAATGCTTGAAGATCGTCCTTGGCAAGACTCCATAGCAAGGGGTATAGCACGCCCACCTGTGCGCAGCCCCTTGTTGCCAAAACGAATTCTTGTATCTCCTACTGTGCAATATACTGTCAGCAGTTTTATTGCACAATACGACCTCTACCTATCTGCGCACCGGTGCTGTCATATTCCTTTTCTCTAGTACACTGGCTACACTCCTGTGAGACGTGTTGTCAAAAGCACCTTCGATGTCTAGGAAGGCGCAAAGCATCCCTTACCCTCTCTCCGAGTTTATCTGATACAGATAAGTATTGGTCGATCCACCTGCTCTGTATACATGCTGAGCAGCATGCAGGGGTGCAACTCTCCCGCCTTCGACCTTATTTCATGATCTACGATAATTTCCATACTTTTTAGTAAGAATGAAGTTAGACTGAAGGATTTAGCCTTCAGTCCTTCCTACTTTGGGTATGAAGATCACCTTCGCGGTCCTCCATAATTCAGTCCTATCCCTCATCAGTCGAATAAGATATGGCAGTAGATCCTGCTCTCCCTGTTGTAAAAACGCTTGAAAGATACTTGAATTTCTCGAACGAAGTCATTGCCCACTTGATCGAATCCATAGTAAATAGGTTTGGTTTATAATGTTAAAGATATACTTTCAATCATTCATTTACACATTTCTATTAATGTTTTTTAGGAGTAACACCGGCGCAGATGATTTTTAATTATTTATTTTGTGAACAGAAAACATTATGACACCACTATTGTAAATTGAACGGGCATTCTATTAATCCATGAGCTGAGTCAAGAAAAATTTATCATTCATTTTTATTGCAGAGAGACAATAAAAGGAGTATGGATACCATTTTGTTAGTCCGCTCCCGGTGTTGGACCGACCTGGGTTATTTTTATTATTTTTTTTTTTAATATTTACATTATTTGCGATCATGGAGACCATCAACTAACGARTGAAAATTTATTACCGGTATTCTCTAGCAAAACCCTTAACCCTTAAAATATACTTATGTGTGTAAGTATATGAATATTATCATTGCGATTTAAGGAATGTGGTAGATGCTTGGTAAGTTTTAGACAACATTTCAAAATGAACTATATATACCTCATAATAATTTAACTTATTAATTACAAGAGCAAGAGAATCCCCCTATTCTGTAACGTATTTCTAGTTCAGTCTCGAATATCGAGAGTATCGATATTTCCCCAATTGAGTTTCAAACAGTGGTGCCATGTATTGCGTGTATATCGGGCAAAATCATATTTTTTACTATTTTTTATTTAAAAAACATATAAAATTAGGTCATTCGCCAAATATGTTCTTAATGTAGAATTAAAGAGAAAAGTTTTAAGATATTTAAAATTAATTTTACACTTATATTTTGCACTTTATATCTACTAGCAATTCACTAATAACTTTGTACATATTTATTTTATTTTATATAGACAAAAATTGTTTTAATTCAACAACTTAAGGTTTGCTGTCTGATTTGAGGGTATAATCTGAGAGAGGATAATCTCTGGATTAAAGAATGTTAACACATATATCCTTCTCAGACCTATCGTTTACGAGATATATGTATTTAAAGTTCTACAATTTTATATGATATTAACTTTTATTTTTTGTTTTTACATGCCWTGACAAATAACAGTGTTGCCACATATTATGTTCGGTTCATATTTATTTTTGTCGAACTACTTTATGCACTGCCGATCGCCTGCCGCGTCTCAAGCAAAATAACACGGGTCGATCCAACACCGGGGCGATCATAGTTCTTTTGTATCGAACTACTTTCGGCACTATCGGCTTTCGGCCCCGCTTCAAAAAAATAACCAACACCGGTATGTTCATAGTTCTTTTGTGTTGAAAATTTCGGAGTTTCCATTGGCAATATAAAACCAGTATTTACTAAATATTTTATAATATATTATAAATTATAATCCATGTGAATATATGAAACAATAGCTCATTTTGAATCATTTATATCTCTAAATATGAAACAGACATATTTTTGATTATATTATCAGSACACAAAGTATGGYAACATTGCTATTTGCCATAAATGTAAACCCATAAATCTCTTGAATGTTTGAATGCGCAAAATAGTTTTTAAAATATATTTATTTTCTTAAAAAATGCACAATTATTTAAAATTTTTGATATATTTGAAAGTGTGCAGTGTAATTTAATATATATTAATTGAAAAATGTGTGAATGCGTGTGGGTTGAACATAGTGAAAGAATTGTTTTTACAAATTTTTGAACTTTAATCAGAAATATCTCGAAAACTATGAGTCTGAGGAGGGTGTATGGGGATACATTTTTTAATCCTGAGGACCTCCTCTATCATTCCTTATCATTAAATGGCGGCTCCAAAAGAATCGTAATATTGCCTATTCTTATTTTTTATTCATTTTTTTTATTTTGCCAATGTGTAATTATGGCAACACTTATTATTTGTCAACACGAAATACTTTTGTTATTGTGCGTAAAAAAAATGCTTATTTTAAGCAAATATCCAAATAATATAAAATAAATATGTAGAAATAATATAGTGAATTGTAAGTGTATACAAAGTGCACAACATAAAAGAAAGAGTTACAATAAATCGATAAATTGCAAAATAAAATTTGCCAAATATTCCACTTGAAATAAAAATATCTTGAATGCTATAAGTTTGCAGAGGCTATATTTATACATATATATTTTTAATATCACTTTTATCACTCTTAACCATGAAATCGTGGGATGGTATACTAAAGCCGGCCCAAACTTTATAATACCACAGACAAGAGAATTGCTATAAATACTYCGAATAGTATTTCTAAATTTCCAAATTACTTTCGTATGACCCGTAATTAAAATCTAATGTGGGAGCACCCTTAAAAATTATATAAAATGAATAAAACAATTGAAATACATTCTAGGTACTTTATTTTACGAAAAATTACAAATGTTTTTATTTTCGTCCAAATGGATCCGACCAAACTTTCATATTTCCAGGCTGTATTTCCTCTTGCTTTATTCCTGCACGGTTATGTTTCTGAATCTCTTTATATTTTTCGACATTCATCATTGGTTCTACAATTATGGGGTAAAGTGCTACACCAATTCCGCCTACAATGCAAGATATAAATGCTGCATATCGCCACCCACGCAAAAACACCATATTTTGATATTCACTGTCACAAAACTATTTCATAACCTTAAACGATGGATAACTTGGTATATTTACATTTTGTTAATCACTTTCGATGCACTGGTTAAGAATAAACAGAAAGTATAACTACGGTTCCGTCGTTCTTAAAGCAGAGGGTTGCCTGATTGTTGGTCACTTGTTCGATGAAATTCTGATATTACACTAAATAGATTTTGAAAATTAATATATATATTATATATTATAAAATATGACAATAATTTCTAAACAATATTTTGAAAGTACAATATTCCACATAAAAAAACTTATAAAATAATCATACCTCATGAAAATTTTCTAATATGGTACTCAGTATTTTTGATGAATTCTTTTTCATCAATATTCGCATTCATTTCTTCCATTTCCTTTTTTATGCTCATTTTTGCAGCTTCAGCAACACAGATCTGCTATTTCGATAAACGTAATATTATTTTGTGCGATTGGTAATTTACTATTTGCATTTTAAATTAAATATGAAAACTCTGTTCATAATATGCATAGATTAGAAGCGTTAAATCTACGTAATAAATAAAAATGTATTTTCTTACATCCTTATAATTTTGGAGACGTTGATGGTAAAGTATGATTAACATATGTACGTTTGTTATTCATTTCATGTGAGCTTTATGAAAATATATTTTTTCTACTATTTTTGTGAAACTATTGCATAGCGAAAAAATGCTTGTAATTGTAATTCGGGTTGCTTAAAGTAGTGAACTTTCAGTGAAGTTAATTAAGTATWTTCTTCAATTTATAGATAAATACTTTGACGTCTAATTATAACATAAAGAAAATATTCTACTGTTGGCGAAGAATATAACGTTTGGTGTTGTAAATTAATTTAGATTATGTGCTGATATTATATCGCCAGATCACATCAATAACGAAAAACCAATATTTAACATAAAAGATTTCACATAAAAATTGCAAAACGCGAAGTGTTATTTTACTGAAAAACGGCGATCCTTTGTGTTGGCGYAAAGTCATCGTACTTATTGGTGTGTTCAGAAGAAAAAGTGGAGGAAAATTGTCGTCGATTACAAACCATGAATTTGAGGGGCACCGCTCCCAAGAAGGAGGGAAAGATGCGGATTCGCGCTTTTCCGGTAAGTCACTTCCTTGTAGAGAAACACGTAGGTATGTTTGTTTGTTTACACTTGAATTTGTTATAGTTTTCTTTGTTAAAATGAACAATCGTTTATTTATAAATTATATRCAAATATAATATGTAAAAAATTTAATTATTATAAAATTGAGTTATTGTATTATTTATAGATATTGTCTATTGTTTAAAAATTAATTTGTTTAAAATTTTTGCACGCTACTGAAAAATAGGTATTTGAATGAATATTTGGTAGATTTTTTTTAGAATATATTTAAAATTAAATTAAATTTCTTTCGTGGTGAATCCTTACTTTATGGTTTAAGTTTCTATAGCTTACTGTGCAATATTTGTCAAAGGAAAATCTTTTGTCATTGAAAAAATAAATTTTTCAAGAAGTTAAGACAAAAATTATTATTTGTGAAAAAACGACATCATTCGTTTCAAATTTGTAAAATTTACAAAGAACTAAGAGTTTTCATTATTTTCATTGGAAATAAAAAGAGAGAAGTTTGTTAGAAGCGAATTTAAAATAATTGATGTGTTAGTACAGGAAAAATGTTTGAAAACCAAAAAATCTAAACCAATGGTTGAGAAAAATAGATTTAAGAGAAAACGACGTCGTTTTGCGGGGAGTAGAAAATTTAAAATTTAATAGTTAAAATTCGAAAATACTAATAGCAGCTAACGAACCTGTATTATTACTACTTGTACTTCATTAAATCAAGAAGATTGCGATAGATAGTTATTTTTTGAGAAATTTGACGTTTTTTATACGACGTTGGTCTGCACGTTTGCTTATATATTTCGATTTCAGCCGTTCGTCCCATTGCGAACATTAAAGGCAAATCGGCAAACCAATGCCCAAGGATAATAAACCTGGAGCACAAGGGCGTCAAAAAAGTTTACTGTTCACAAACAACCAAAACTGTAATTCGCCCAGCAGTTCTGTGAATAGTGGTCGCTATCGCAAATTTTTTATACGTGGACGCACAACAGTGGGTGTTCAGGGTTCAACAGCAGGTAACAGTGCTGCACGTGAACAACGCTGGGCATTAAAAACAACTCCACAATATGCTGGTGCAAGTGCAAGCTTGCTACATGTCGGAACTGTTTGCAGCGTGTCCGTGGGCTTAAATTCTAAACATCAAAAACTTACGGAAGTTCAACGAAAGTTCCCTCTTTGGTTGCCGGAATACAAAACGAACGCTTTTAATGTTAGCTGAATATGTTTTTCTTATTTTTTTTCCTATTAGTTTGTACTCTGTGTTCTTTATTAAAATACTAATTATTTTTTATTAAAACGATCTCAGGCTTCTATGGATGAAAAATATGTTGAATCGATTTGGGCAAGCTTAAAAAACGCTATACAGGAAATACAAAAGAAAAATAACTCTGGCTTATCCTTCGAGCAATTATATCGCAATGCATATAATATGGTGCTACATAAGCATGGCAATCGCTTGTATTATGGCTTGCGTGAAGTCGTTTCTGAGCACTTAGAACAGAAAGTGCGGCAAGATGTGCTTGAAAGTTTACATAATAACTTTCTTCCTAAGTTAAATCAAGCTTGGAGTGATCATCAAACTTCGATGGTAATGATACGTGATATATTGATGTACATGGATCGTGTTTATGTACAACAACGCGAAGTAGATAATGTTTACAATTTGGGCTTAATATTGTTCCGAGATCAAGTATGTTTGATTAAGTTAATTTGCTATCATAAACCGAATCTTTAACCAAAAAATATATATAGATTGTCCGTTATTCAGAAATTCAAAAAGCTCTACGAGAAACATTACTCGGAATGGTTATGGACGAGCGAAGCGGAGAAGCCATCAATCACTTAGCGATTAAAAATGCGTGTCAAATGCTTATGTCGCTGGGAATTAATACACGGTCCGTATATGAAGATGATTTTGAGAAACCATTTCTTGCGCAATCTGCATCTTTTTATAAGTTTGAATCACATAAATTTCTTAACGAGAACAATGCGGGTGTTTATATAAAAAAAGTCGAGGTACTTGTTATTTTGCTATTGTTAAAGATTTTTGTAAAGCCTTAGTTTTTTAGGCTCGCATACAAGAAGAATCTGCACGGGCGGCCCTGTATTTAGATAAAGACACTGAACCGCGTATCGTTAAAGTTGTCGAGGATGAACTTATTAAGAAGCATATGCGTACTATTGTTGAAATGGAAAATTCTGGTGTTGTTTATATGATTAAAAATTCAAAAACAGAGGATCTTGCTTGTACCTATAAACTATTTTCACGACTAAAAGAGGAAGGTCTCAAAGTAATTGCTGATACAATGTCATCGTATTTGCGTGAACAGGGCAGAATATTAGTGAAGGAGGAAGAAAATGGGAATACAAATCCAATAACTTTTGTACAGAATTTGCTCGATTTAAAAGATCGTTTCGATCAATTTTTACACCATTCATTCAATAATGACCGATTATTTAAAAATGTAATATCAGCAGATTTTGAGCATTTTTTAAATTTAAATCAAAAATCTCCCGAATACCTTTCTTTGTTTATTGATGATAAACTTAAAAAAGGAGGCAAAGGTGTAAGTTTTATTTTTACTTCTGTTCTATCTGTTGACTATACTGATCAATATTGCAGATGAGTGAACAAGAAATAGAAACAATTTTAGATAAAACCATGGTACTTTTCCGATTTCTCCTGGAGAAGGATGTTTTTGAACGTTATTACAAAACTCATTTAGCGAAACGCCTGTTGCTAAATAAATCAGTTTCCGATGATTTTGAGAAAAATATGATATCAAAATTAAAGGTATTTCAGATTCAGATTTCATATGTCAATACTACAATTTCTTTCCTTCTGCCTTGTGCAGACTGAGTGTGGATGTCAATTTACCTCAAAACTTGAAGGAATGTTTAAAGATATGTCTGTGTCAAACACCATTATGGAAGAGTTTAAAAACTATGTAAATGTACACAACTTATCATTATCGGGTGTTGAATTGACAGTGAGGATCCTAACGACAGGATTTTGGCCCACTCAAGTATGTAAATTATTAATATTAAACTATGAATTTAAAATCGTAATAAAAATCTTTTGRTTGATGAAATAAAATTGTAGACTGCAACACCTAACTGCAATATACCCTCTGCACCACGTGAGGCATTTGAAATATTTAAAAAGTTTTATTTGGATAAACATTCGGGTAGACAGTTAACGTTACAACCACAAATGGGTAAAACAGTAAATAATCTATACTATTTTTTTTCTGAAATTAAATTATTATTGAAATAGGTACGGCTTATATTAATGCAGTATTCTATGGCCGCAAAGTGGATAGCGATAAAGATAAAGACGGTCCTAGTTCAAGCATGTCATCCAGCTCAAATGGTTGTACGGTGCCAACAACAACCCGTAAACATATACTACAGGTGTCCACGTATCAGGTATTTAAGTTGTACGAGTTAAATGTAAAAAATTTTGACATTTTCAATTTAAGATGTGCGTATTAATGCTGTTTAATAACCGTGATATGTTAACTTATGAGGATATACAACAGGAAACTGATATCCCTGAACGGGAGTTAGTACGTGCACTTCAGTCGCTGTCAATGGGGAAACCTGCACAACGATTACTTGTGCGAAACTCAAAAACGAAGACAAAAGACATCGATCCAACAGATGAATTTTATGTAAATGATGCATTTGTTTCTAAACTCCACAGGTAAGAATTGTTATGTTTAAAATGTATACAAAATGGACAAGTGCGGCATGTATGGTCTCTTGATCGATTGGTCTGTGCGTTGTGAAATCACATTGTATATTACTATTTTCAATATTGGTATTATATTCAACTTTCTAGTACATATTTTATCAAACGCATTAAATCATACTATTACGATAGAGATCGTTTTCGATTTTTCACGATGTGTGCGATGTTTCTCTAATAAAGATATGCAATTTTATTATCTGGTTGATTGTTGCACATATTTACTCACTAAAATAAATTCTTCTTGCCATACATACGAAGAAAGGCATTGCCAAGACTGCATGGTATGGTTACTTTTACTCAGGGATTMAAGGGGTCGTCCAAATAAGCAAGTTGGGAAATTGTATTGGTCGCAAGAAATTTACAGCGGCACATTTTCTTTGCATATTTTATTTATTTTTACTTATTTTGTTTTAACAAAATATAATATATATGTTATTTCAATTACTTCATTTGTATAAAATTTATAAAAGTGAAATTTAAAATTTCATATTATTCGCATATTTTCAAAAGTTAGCACCTAGTGGTTTTTGTATAGTCTACATTGCTAGGTATGTACTTTCACAGGAAATACAGTTTAATTATAAGGGGGAAGATATACCGATTCGTGACGCTACACTAAATTTTAAAACTAATTTCTATTTTGCCATTATTGATACTGCATTGCCTTCAATCGATGGCAAATACTATCAGTTGGAGCAAGTCAGGGAAGAGGTAAGGAGCTATTTTTGGACATTGCAAAAAATTATAAATGTTATTAACTCACGGTGAATTGACGATTATAGTTGCAACATATTTGTGTAACGAAATACAAGCTTTTGGCCGAAAAAGTGCATATAAAACTACACCACTGGACATTTTGAATAATATTTGGTCGAACGAATTAATATATTATTATAACCCAACGATTACCCTTCTCTCGCCCAACCGATGCGAGCGCAGCATCCGCATACTTGCAGAATCAGTCGAGTCATGAAACAAAACAAAAATTACAACAGCTACAATTTAATTGTTACGATTTTATTTAATGAGCGAAAGCAATATAGTCTTTTTAATTGCGATATCATAGAAATCAAATGTGCAGAAATGAGAATTGACGGAATGGTGCGTTATGTTCAAATTTTTATTGATCATATTTTAACAGTAAGGGCAAAATTTCTTCGAAAAGCGAAACGGGATATTAAATTTAACTTCAGACAGGGGAAAAGTACTGCTAACTGTTCAGGATTCCATTCAGAATAAAACACCAAGCATTTCTCTACGACTCGAGATTTATAAGTAGTGTCTCCAGTTTTTTAGTGCGTTCGCTACGAGGTCCTAACGTCGACTCGGATTATGTGCTATTGCAGCCAAGATACGCACGTCAACAAGCACAAGGATGGTTCGACGTCGAGAACCCGCAATCAGAACACAGCTCAACAATTTTCTACTCGGCTTATACTCCTGCTCTCGGAGAGCACTCATCAGCAACTCGGTATAAGGGAACTGTGGAAACTACAAACGAAGCCATTGGTTTTCGGAAAAAGTAAAAGAACAGTTGGGTATGACGAGGAGTGCCGTGTTGCAGCGGAGAGAAAACACTGCCTACCTCGCAACGTTACAGTCGACCACAATACATGCGGGATGGGATAGATACCGAGAGAAAAAATGAGAGAGGCTGAAATGCGCGAGTATGAAGAGCTTGACAAGCTGGCCGCCAGGGGTATTGGTCGAAAATTCTACGAAAAGATGCGGCGACTAACAGAAGGTTTCAAGACCGGAGCATACTGAAATTATGGAGGGAACACTTCTCTAGCCTTCTGAATGGAAGTGAAAAATATATAAACAAGCAGTCGTCGCACTCGCGACTAGACTGCCATATCAGTGTTGACATTCATCACTTCGAGTAGTAGATAATTTCGTCTATCTTGGAATCATCATTAACATCAACAACAAAGTGGGTCTAAATCCAACGCAGAATATCTCTTGCCAACAGGRGCTACTTCGGCCTAAGTAGACAATTAAGAAGTAAAGTCCTCTCTCGACGAACCTCCTATATTGTGCAGAGGAATGGACGATGAAAACATCTGATGAGTCAACACTACGAGTTTTCGAGATAATGGTTCTGCGGAAGGTTTATTGCCATATATTTCCTCACTTGCGTAAACTTCTTAACATGACTCCAACCTCCCAATGATACAGGGTTTACTAATTTAAGAAAATTGATTAGAGTAGATTTGCATCTACCAAATCCGTGCTGGGAAGTAGAAATTAACGTACATCGAAAAAGTTAAATGATAGCTTCAAAAAGTATAGGTAAACTGATAACTGCATATACCGCTATAGTTTTTAATGTATGACCTAAATCCTTTTATGCAAGGGGATTATAAATGACACTCAAAAATGCTTGCCAAAGGCAAGAAGATGTATTTTGCACTATTTTTTCAGGAAGCACGAGGGTACTACATCTGGGCCGTAATTAAAAGATGGTTTTAACTTATTTAAATAAATTCAGAAATAATTGGAGTATTAATTGAAGTATTCGAACGGAGCATGTGCAGATAGGAAAACATTTTAGAAGAATTAGTAAAGTAGTTTGGCTTGAAAAATTCTGCAAGCATATTGGAAATAATGTGATTGTCACATAACATGATAGATTTGTATTCAATATCGTTCTAAATTTGTTTACGGCAATATGGGTGTCAAGAAAGACTGACAGGCTAGGTAACATGGTCAATAGAAAATGAAGGTGGCACAAACAATAAAACAGTTGTCTTATTTTTTCAATTCAAAGGCACGGAAATATTTAAATAAATAATATATTTTTATGAAAATTTTTTTTAAATAAAATTACCTTAATAATTCCGAAAGGTTGTCAATTTTGGCAAAATAGGCTTAGAAGTGGCGCAGATTGCCTAGAGTGGTAAATTGTCTGTGACCGGCCGTGTTAATGAGGAAGTGGTCCCGAATAAAGTACTATTATAAAAATCCATTTGAATAATATAATTATTTTATATAGACAAACAAGCAAATTTGCATAGCTAGTAGCGAAATATCTCCTGTCATCAAACAAACAGTCGTCGCACTCGCGACTTGGCTCTCACGTCACTATTGACAGTTATAAATTTGAAGTTTTTATTAATATGRGACTAAAATCATGTTTAGGGTCTGTAATATCTCCAAAATCAATAAAGTTGTCAAGTTATCGTGTTCCTTCCTCATTATTTTTTTAAGTTCGTTTCTTTTCTCATTCTAACCATAAAATGTGTATTATTGTCTATTCTTCTCAAAACTCAAGCTTTGGTGTTGTCTAACAGTTGATTTATCGTTTTTGATACCTATTTTTCAAATATAGTATTCTTGARTCATGTAAAGACTGGAAATTTTCATTAAATATCATTCATTCTTATTGAGATAAGAATATAGTCATTAAATAACTCTTGATTGAAAACCAAGAAGATCGAAGGTCAAGTGTTTGCTCGAGAGTCGTAAGTCACTTGACTCTCGAAAATATATAATATTATAAAAGTGAATAAGCACCACATAGTATAAAACAAAGACGCCTTATCTCTCACTATATCCCTATGTATGCTTAAATCTTTAAAACTACACAACGGATTTTGTTGCGTTTTTTTAATAGATAGAAGATTGAAGAGAAAGGTTTATATGTATAATAACATTTCTAATGTGATGTCGTAAATAATTACATTTTCTCCGCATAATTACATTGCAAACGCAGGCTGAAGCTTACAAAATTTATTAAAATAATGCACTAAGTATTGTACATATTGATGGTACTTATCCCACAATAACATTTGTTTGTCATTTACTTTTTACGACAAATAATGGCTAATTTTCGAACCGATTTTAACCAATCTTTATATTAGGTCTATGGGGGTTCAGGGAAGTATTGCCCGATTTGACCAATTTTTGACMAATATTTTTAGTCAAAAGTCAACTATAGATATTGGTGTTCACATATTCAGTACCTAGCGTCTTGACCAGTGAAGGCCTTCTCATACCATCTATGTATTTATTGCGCTTTTAGTAATTTTGAACGGCCCGCCACCGTTATATGGGGAGTGCGCTKGGTTATCATCCGATTTTATCCATTTTCACACTATCAGTAGAAGTTCTTATAATAAAATTCTTTATACACAGCAATTTTGGTTGTTGTAGCTTTAGTGGTTTATTAGATATGTATGTACATTAAAGATATTAGACCCCACACCCACTTTTTCAAAATGTTGAGTATGCCGGGTTACCGGGTGGTCGGGGCGGCGGGGGCGTGCCTATAAAAATCCCGTTGGAGGCCGTAGTTCTCCCTATAGCACTTTGAAGTTAGCAGGGATCGGACTCGTTTATTATCGGAGCTCTCTAGCGGAAAAATTACAACCTATATACAGTCTGAGTCATAAGTCTACAAGCAGCCAATTTGAAAACATTTGTTTCGTTTTATTGATTGCGTTTTATTTTATTCACATTAATTTATCAGAAAATTGAAATTAAATACTTTGCTTTTATAAACTAGTTCGAAAAAAAGGACGATAGTGCCTAAGTGGAAAGAAATCGGTGTCGACGAGAGACAAATTATTATTAAATTCTGGCAGGAAGGAAAATCAAATCGGCAAATTGGCAAATAAATATGTAAACATGCCGAATGAGTTTTGGAACAATGCGCTTTTCTCCGATGTGTATTTGGGATAAAAGGACGTAAATAAGTGTGGCATAAGCCAAGTGAAGCATACAACAAATGCAATCTTTATCCAACTTTGAAACATTGAGGTGGTGGTATGATGCTATGAGGATGCATGTATGGTTATTAAAAGGTAAAAAAGTTTAAATTTTACTTTGTAACGCCTGTTAACTGCTTGTAGATTTTTGATCGCTTGCATTGTTACGTCAAAACGTTATYTCGTTCGTCTGTTTTTCAAACACGTGCAAAGAGTTTCGGCACCATCAAACTACGTTTAATA